GACATACAGACAGGTTAACTGCAAAGACTCCCTTTTGTGCTTCGCACACGGGAGTCAAAAAGCATTACTGGTAACTGACATTTGCTTTTATATCTTTTACTTGCACTACATCTATCTGTCAAAAGCATGTTCAACAAAACTGGCACAAAATGGCCACCAGTCGGCCTTAATGTAGGTAAGATGACAGAACAAAACTAGTGTACATATTTCCTTCAAGGTTTGATCTGAATAATACATATATACTAAATTTGACAACAATTTTGAAAGTATCAAGTGTTTTAGGATATCTGGGCCGCTACTCTGACAGGTTGGTGGTAACTTTGAAGATATTCTACCTTGAATGATCTAATCTTTTACTGTCAACCTGTTATACACATTTAATATTTCTTGACACATGCCAAATAACTAAAACTAGGTTTGTGTTGCATTCAAAATTTGAAAACAAGCGACCTAACTGGCCATAATATCTCTGCTGTCTTTTTTAGAGCTTCTTCCTTAACACAAAGCTGATAATGTTCAGTCTGATAAGATATTCACTATTTTCCATTGTTTTTTATGGTGTTTTCATAATGTTTTTGCCATATCACAACAATGGTTGTTTATTTGGTTGTTGCCAAGGCAACTACAATTGTTAACTTCTTTTTACAAATCTCATGGAGTTCAACTAATGAACCCTACATACTAAGTATCAAAGAAATTGAGATGGTAGTTGCATCCATCATTGACTGTTGATGACAAGACACTACAAAGTTTATCGCGAATCAAAACTCTTTCACTGAAGACACATTAATTTCCTTACTGATCAAGACAGGAATACAGAGAGGGAAAATCACAATAACTTGACCACAAACAGCTGGCACACAAGTGATAATAAAATACTGTAGAATACTTTATTTTCGCTTGGAATTTATTTTTGCTATTTTTGCCAAAGGGATGATTCCGTGAAAATAAAATCCAGCGAATATACCATTTTTCCTATATTTCACATTAAACTCATCAAAAATCAGTGAAAATAAATTCCATACAAAACGCCCAAAAAGCCTTTTCAGCAAAAATAAAGTATTCTACAGTAAACACAGTATTTAGGGGAATTCGCCCTGATTCATAAGAAATAGACATATTTGTGAAATATGTTTTTCAGATTACTACAAATCAGAGTAATAATACCAAACTTTCACAGCTAAACAATACATTGGGGGTAACATTGAAACAGACACTAACAAAAATCAACCATTCAGGATTTTTGTGCCAAAAATTCCTTGCATACAATTACACCTAAGACTTTCCTGGGCAAGCCAATCAGTGAAGATCTTACAACTAATGCTACAACTGAATTTCAGTTTCAAAAAGAAATAACAGTTACTCAAGCACAATAAAAACACATGACAGGTAGACTTTTATATAATTGGGAGATAATTTTAATTTACCTTTCCTTTGAAGTCTTTGGCGGCTTCTGTGAAATTATCTGAAATAGCCTGGAAGTTCTCTACTTCCTTGTCCACAAATATCATGTTGTGTTTTTTGATATCACCACCGAATAGTATTGATGAAGTCTGCATGAAAAAAAAATCTGATTAAAAACTCATTTGGCAGAGAACAGAGTTGTTCATCATGCCAGTCATTAAAAAACACTCGCCTGTTTCTCCAGTCACCAGTCTTATTTGCATAAATCTGCATATAATACGTACATCATTTACATGTTATACGGTATTTCTACTATTTATTCGAGAGAACGTTTCACGTTACAATTTGCATATAGTTATAGGTTTTAAAATTAAAAAAAACGAATATTATAGGATGGAAATCAATTTTTTACATAATGCTCAGTTCAAAGTTGGTGATTTACGCTCTCACAAGAATCTGCGATAATGAAAGGCACATGGAAAAATAAGTTTGCATCCCGTTTATATTTTTACAATAGACAAGTAGAAATTAAAGCTGCAAGCAGCCTTGTAGGGCTTCAGGCAAGAGACATATTATACACTGTAAGTACAGTTTAATTGGTATGGGAATAATTGACAAGTATGGTATGTAAAGCAACATAAGATTCGAGCATTTGTGCTTTCTCTGTGTACTCAATCCAAGATGGAAACACACACATGACTAAATTAATGTGTTAAATGTCAGATCCTTTGGTTTGTGATCAAGTTTTTGGAGATTTTGTCATTGTGTGGAATCGTAATAATTTTGTCAAATAGTAATGCCCATCGTGTACAAATTTGATAAACCAATGGTGATATCAATGTGGGTAGTGAATGGCTGAAACAAATCTATTGTACACATTCGTAAAAACAAAATATTGGCAAAACCATGTGACCAGTTGTAATTTTGAGTTCTAATTTGAGACTGCTCCAGATATACATATCAAGTCAATAAAAATAATTTCAAGTCAAACGGAAACAATGACAAACGTCATATGATTTCTAACATTTTCTAGGTGTAAATAAAAGCACACAATGCCATGAATGCTGCATATAACAAAAACCAGCTCTTCTAGATCCTCAGAAGTATCAGCAATCTGTTTATTTTGTAAACATTGACAACCACACAGTTTGCATGTATGTAAGTCAGTATGTAAGTCAATGTATCTGAGACAAAAGCAAACAAAATTACCCCCGGTAATGAAAAACAAAAAAACTTCATACCTGTTCACTGTATTCAATGACAAGTGGTAAACTGTTGGCAGCCACAAATGCTGCAATAGCATCTACAGTGAAGTCGCCATCATAGTCGTTACGACCTTCATCAAACTATGAAGCAAAAAATAATAAAAATTAAAATAAGTAACAGAATGTACCGCTTTGAAGTTTGGAATAGAATACATGTACAAGGTAAAAAAGGTTGTCTTGCTGGAACACGGTTGTACAGCAAATTAATGCATGTTTTGAAAATCTAACCCTTCACCAACTTATAAATTTTGATAAAATTGGTCATAAATCGCATGACAATGTACATTGATTTATTAAGTACAATCATGGAGCTATTGTCCCATAAATTAGCATTCTTCTGCGTGTTACAGTCATGTATTCTAAGAAAATTGTCACCAGCATTCAATTTAAAACATGGCATAATAAAATTAATAAGGTATCTCTGACGTAGGAACCTATGGTAAAAGCCTTATAATACTGACAAAATGCAACAACCATTTTCTCAAAATTTAAGCTAGTGCTTCCCAACTTTTTCAAAGTCAATATCTTTATAATGCCCAAATTTTGGGTATTTGCATTTATGAGTACCTACATGCTACCCTTCTAGTCCTGAAATAGGTTGATTCAAGTTCATAGCAAGAATTTTGTTTTTGCAGCACTCTGCCCTAGAGATTCCCACAGATGCTACATTCAAAATTGAGATAATAACTACCTTTTTCAGTAAGACAATAGCGCCATCCTTAACTTTGTATTTCTTGAAGACATCATCACTTGACGTAATACCAAATGAGATATCATCATTGGCAGAAGCAACTTCCAAGAATATTTTAGCATTGTCGCTGTCAGCACTTTTAAAGAAACCAATCACGCAGACCTCATTCTCGGCAAGCTTCTCAGCATCCTCAACACTTTCTAAAGTCTTAGCTGGTGGGCCAGTCTTCTTGTTCAACCACTTCACAATGCCATCGGCATCTCTAGCACCTGTATGGAGAAAGGAGAAATGTCAGGAAACAGACAACCCTACACATATCATTGTATCCTTGACAAAGTACGGTTCGACATCTGGTGATAGTTATGCATTTTTACATGATCATATATTGTTATTAACTAGGTTGATCAGATCATGAGCCCAATGACTTCAATAAAGCACTGGTTGAATGTGAATAGAATAGAATAGAATAGAATAGAATAGAATAGAATAGAATAGAA